TTAATATTTATACTTTCGGCCGCCAGCAATGAAAATATAAGGGTTATTATATTAACTTCCTCTATAATATTTCTTATATTTGCTACTAATTACCTAAATTACCCGAAGAAGTTAATATCGTTTTATTCCAGCTACGAAATATTTAAAACCATCCTAATTTCAACCGTATATATAAAAAGTTCAAAGTTAATTAGTATAAAATTAATATCTAGCTTCAATTCTTAAAAAATTATGATACAGGATATGTACAATAGACAAATAGACTGCCCTCTAGAAACCTCCGGCAGGCATTCAACTGCCGGACGGACTAACAAAGGTTCTAGTAACCTTTATTAACCGCCTTTAACAAGGCTCCCATTCACTAGCAGGACAGAGGCTTCTAGAAGCCTTATAAATACCCTATTTAACTACCACTTACAAGGCCGCCTCTAGCCTACTCTTAAATTGGGCATTATCGCTTCCTACCTAGAATACTAGAATATATAGTCTTCTTCAAGATTGCTCCCAATCTCCCGCAATAAATAATAGCTATAACTAAATAATTAAACTAACCGACCGCTTATCGCAAAAACTTTTTTAACGTTATAATTAATTAATAATTTCACTACTATACGTAGCACCCTAGTATAATTTAATACTATCTAATTACAGTGTTAAGCCCTGAACCAAAATATAAATAATATATAGTATTCTCACCGACTTAAAAATTAAACTATAGCGTTGAGCCTTAACTTTAAACGAAGATGAAGTTATTCTACTTTACTACTGTTTATCTTAACCGTTAAAGTATAGAAAGGATAAGTACAATAGTATTGTAAATATTTAAAATATTCTATTATACGATGCAATTTAAATATCCCCGACCTATTATTATCCTTACGCTTCAATAAAAATTAGTTAGCTAGAAGAGTAGCAACGCATCTTTACTACTTAGATCCGGACCTAATTTACCCCTCATCCAACACTAAAGGTTTCCCCTGCCTCCGAAATATATATAATAGTAGGATAACGGTCCTCTTTCTCCTATTATTAATTACAATTTAATAATACCAAACATCTCCCTATAAGTGACAATTATAATTAACCTACCGGATACCCATTCTCCTAGATACCCTCCTAATAATTAGCTACCTATACTACCCCCCTAAAAACTGCTACCCAATTACGGTAATAGGCTTCCTCCGGATAAACCCCAATAACCGCTATCTAATATTAAAGCTTAAATTCGAATCCCTATTCCGGCTAGAATTGAATCGGATAATAATTTAAGGCTACTACCGAAAAACCAAATTGGATATAAATTAAAGACAAGAGCCTTTTTACGAATACTAATCGGAGAAGCAGAGGTCCGGGAGGAAACATCAGGTGATTAGGGACGGGGATCGATAATTATAAACCTATCTAAGGAGGAACCACTAAGACTAAGAGGATAGCCAAATAACTATAGAAATAATAAATCTTCTATATTTCATATTTAACGAATACTTAACCACTTGGAATAGCAAATCCATATATTTAAACAAGCTAATACAAATAATATATTAACTTTAACTAGGGAGATATAAATATTAATTAATTGCCTATAAAAATGCAATAATAATAATACTTTATTTAACTGATAATTGAAAGATAAGTTTATTAATGTTCGGGAAGTTATTAATAAAGTGGTAAAATAAGTAGAAGGCTTAAATAAGGCAATTAACTAAATGAACCTACGAATTACCGTTATAGATACTAGATTATTTATAGCTAATAAAGTGGCAAATAGGGAATTAATTATAAATAACGCAAAGAGCGAAGTTGGGAAGGCCAACTGTACTATTTATAATTAAGTAAAAGACGTAATAATAAGAAAGTTAGATAATTTGGAATAAATAGTATAAGGATTATTAGAATTAATAAAGGATATTTAAGAATACTAGGACGAAACGCCGGAAGATATCCTAGAAAATACGTAGTTAAAAGGATTTCTAAAACCTTCTTTCAAAAAAATATAATATTTATTAATTCTAATAATAATACTAATAAGCAATAAATATAAGTAAAGATAATACTTTAATATAGCGAGCGGAAGCAACGCTAATACTACCGACCTAGAAGTGCTTTTCGCTAAGGCTATAAATATACTTCGTACTAACCCTGCTTATATTGAACTAACCCTTAAATTATTAACTGTATAGAAAGTTACTTAAGTACTCGTTAGTAATAATACTTTCTTATTTAAAGACGATCGTCTCCGTAGAAAAGATATCGGCTAATTTAACCCCTATTACGAAGACCCTAATAACCTTAGTAGTATATCCGACGGCAAAAATATAATCTATATTAACGTCTATTATTTCGTAGACTACTTAAAATCTTTTATAGAAGACCCTATTTTAGGAAGAGCTATAGAAAAATAGATTATAGTTATATTTTAAACCCTATTTAATAGTCTAGCCATTAAATAGTAAATTAATAAAATCTCCCTTAATAAATAGCGGGACTTAAGAATTAATAGTTTACCTATCCTAATAGATACGTTAACTATTCGATTTACACCCGACTTAGCTATAGCTATATGTAAATTTACGGAAGCTACTTTAATTCTAAAGAATGTAGTTAAGAACGAAAACGCCCTAACCGAATTTATTTAACGAAAACTGCAATATAATAAAGCTATAGATATTCTAAATAAAAGCGGTGATAATTAGTACGGAATAATAATATAGATCTGGTCTAGTCTGGATATTCATATCCGCCGCTTCCTTCCTACTTTCTTAAAGAACGGACTATTAGCTAATTATATATAATTATTAGAAGAATTTAGAGCTTTACTATACATAATAGCCCTAAATTACTACCCTTATCTAATAGGCGGAACCTACGGGTTTAGAACCGTTAAGGAGTCTTATAGTAAAGATAATAAAACCTCGAATACTTCGGTTAGATAGAATCGGACGAGCTCCTTCTCCTAAAACCGCTCTAAGGACTATTCGAGAAATTATTCTAAAGACTAAAGGAGCTATTCGAAGGACCGTATAAAGGATTATTCTAAGGAATAGTCTAATAATTAATTAAAAGAATTATCTAAAATAAGAGACAATAGTCGACCCGGAGACTAGTAATGTAAATACAAGTAGTACAATAGAATCTATTTTACCAAAGAATACAATACGAATAAAGAATCCTCCTCAATAAATCTGAGCTACTATATACTAAACGCCAAATCCACCTATAGTAAATATTTAAAGCACTTCGACTTACATACTATAATTAGAGCCTACGTTAAAAAATATAAGCGATCTACAGCGGTGAAGACGGAGGCTCGTAGAATAGATAAGGCCCTAAGGATAAAATACGCTTACTATAAAGCGCAATTTAAAACCCGGAACTAGTTTTTTACTTATTTAAGGAAATATAAAGCTTAAAACAATAAAAAAAAACCTAATATTATATTTGTAGAATACAATATTAATAATATACCCTTACCCCGGCTTATTAACCCGACCCAATTATATACTATTAAGGAGGCTCCCGAAATCGACGAGAAAAACATCGAATAAGGCTAGTTATCTACCTATACCCACCTAAGAATTAATATTAAAGCTATACCGGAAGGGCTACTTATTAAAGTCTATATAGACTTAAAAATAGGTCGCTCTATAATATTAAAAATACTGCTGAACAAATTAGAGCATATTATAATAATAAAGTTAAACCGCGAAATTAAAAGTATCGGAGGATCGATAACCATTAGAGAATAGGCTACCTTTTAAATATATTTAATTAACTACAAAAATAGCTCCCCCACCCTAATAAGGGTAAAAAAGTCAATATAAGTAGTAAATAATTTATCTACTAATACGCTTCTCGCTAATAATTTTATAAATTCTAAAAGGGGTATTATTGATTATAGATAAACTACAATTATATTCTCCAAACTCGGCAATTTCTATATAAACTTTACTATTAATAAAAGAACCAACCTGTACTATTGTAAAGTAACTGTGGTTAGAGAAATTATTATTCGCTTAAATTAATAGGTATATGTACCCGTCAATTATAAACCGCTACTATCCGGAAGAAACTTAAAATTCACCGCTAAATATCCCTAAACCTTTAATTCTATTATTATAAATAAAACCCCCTAAATAATATTAATAAAGAATAATAACCTTTTTACTATATTAACTATCCCTAAGAAAATTAGAATCAGTATAATTATAGAATGCGAAGATACTATATATATAGCTATTAACTAGTTAGACTTCAACCCCGAACCTACTACTGGAGATTGTAACGAAGATAACACGATATTACGAGAACGACCCCGCATCCCCAAAAAGCACTCCCTACTAGGACTACGCCGTACGCCAAACGCACCAAAAATAGTAATAAACAACGGTATATACATCTTCATAGCCGATACCGTTCTAGCCGAAGATATAAGGGCGCTAGTAGATAAATACCCTACCTTGTAGGAAGAAGGCGGTATAATTAATATCCCGGAAAATAAAATAATAAAAATCCCCTTAGTCGAAAGCTAATAGAACTAGAAGACTAATACCTGCTTATACCCCCTAAGCTACAAAGATTAGGAAGTCGTTAACGATATTTTTAATAAATTACACATATAGGGAAAGCTGGACGATTGCATAGAAGCCACGCCTTTCTTACACCCAATCTTCGTAATATAGAGAATTATAAAGGATAAGTTAAAAGGAAAGCTAATTATAAATTTATAATCCTTAAATAAGGTATTCGTCCCTAATAATTACCCTTTATTATAATAAAAATTGGTAATAGTTCGTATAAGAGGAAAGAAATTTATTATAATTATTGATACAATTTCCTTCTTCTATTAATTTAATGTATAGCCCCCCTATTAAAACTAGTTAACTATAATTACCTATAGAAGATTCGAAATACTATACGTAGCCTTAATAGGATATTAAAATTCCCTAGTATACGTATAGCGATTTATAAACCGACTCCTCGCCCCGCATTTAGTATATTACTACGCCTTTATCGACAATATTATAATTACATCCGATATAGCTAAAGACTACTTAAAGTATTTTAATACTATATTTACACTCTTTATTAAAAAGAATATTTTAATTTCCTTGAAGAAATCCTTTATTAACTTTCTTAACGTTAAACTATTAGGTTTCTGTATAAACGCGCTTGGGCTAACGTTAATCGAAGAAAGAATTGAAACTATGCGAAAACTAGACTTTCCGAATTAATTAAAAGCTCTAGAGATGTACATCGGAAGTACTAAATTCTTAAAGCACCTAATTCTATACTATGCCCAGTTAATTGAACTACTATAAATATATAAGGTGACCTTATTAGCCGAAGGACGTAAGACTAGTATATTAAAAACGGGTAATATTAATAAAAGAATATCCTACGTAATTAAAACGACTTTCGAACCGACGGAATAAGAATAATTCGTTTTCTAAGCTATATAAGAAATAATATATAGCAAAAACGGAATTAGTAGAATCCTTTTTTATATTAACCCCGACTAACAATTATTTATCTAATTTAATGGTTCCTTCGAACGTAATAATAGTATTATAATATTCTACTTAAAGGAAGGATATAAATAAACGCTAGGAACTACGATACTAATAATAATAGTACGCTTAATAATATTTCTAAATAAGTGTTTAATTAAAATAAAAATACGATATAGCCCTTCTAAATTCGAAGTTGTATATTTAATCTAAGCGGTAAAAAGACTACGTACCTATATCCATTTATTAAACCTACCCGTAATTATACTAACCAACTACACTACGACTAAAGGAATTGTTAAATAAACTATACTATAAACCTATTTGACGGACCGGTTAAACTGAAGATTAATTAATATATTAATTTATTTATCTTAATACAACTTAAAGGTTTACTATATAGCCAGCAAGGTAAACTTCGTACTAAACTTAGGGTTAGGGTTAGGGTTAGGGTTAGGGTTAGGGTTAGGGTTAGGGTTAGGGTTAGGGTTAGGGTTAGGGTTAGGGTTAGGGTTAGGGTTAGGGTTAGGGTTAGGGTTAGGGTTAGGGTTAGGGTTAGGGTTAGGGTTAGGGTTAGGGTTAGGGTTAGGGTTAGGGTTAGGGTTAGGGTTAGGGTTAGGGTTAGGGTTAGGGTTAGGGATCTCTCT